ACCTACCTTCACCTACCTACCTACCTACCTACCTACCTACCTACCTACCTACCTACCTACCTACCTACCTACCTACCTACCGACCTACTTACCTACCTACCTTCCTGAAACAAACATGCTTGCTCGCTTGCTTGCTTGCTTACTTGCATACTGAACAAGAAACACACATGCGCGAATGTTACTTTTGTTCATGTCTGTATGCATGTACATCTTCATGTCAAGGAAGGAATCAATGCATGTCTGCATCCGTGCAATGCATCCACAAATACACATGCATGCCTTTTCACCCAAAAAACCACATGTTTGCATGCTTGCCAGCATACATGCATGCAGTACATACATGCTTTACCTGGATGTATGCCTACATGATGCTTGCGTGCATGCGTACATTCATACCCGCATATATACAGCATGCACACCTACAGGATCTTACAATTACTTACAATGCCTGCATGTGTCCGCGCGCGTGTGCCAGCAAATGGATGGATGGATGGATGACTTGCGTGCCGCATCATATATGCACCACTCCTGTTTGGTCTGAAGCTGGCGTAGCTTCGCCTCATGTTTGTAGTTTGTACAGCAGTGATGGTAGTGTGTTCTGCATCTCTAGTTGGCGATGGGGCAGAATGATTCAGTTACATGCGCGAGCACACAATGGGGCGAGGGCGACGGTAGCTGTGCCTTGGGCCTGGGTGAGGCTCAGCTCTCTGAATGCTGCACTCCGGGCACTGCCGGAACAGCCGCCTCCGGCAGCGGATCGCCTGGCGCTGGAGGCGTTTCGGCCGCTTCGGGTGCTGCGAATGCGTGCACCGGTGTGTGTGTGTGTGTAACTACACGTGCTCTAGAACTGTAGATGGCACATATGCCCTGATCGACTGCTTTCTTCCAACATCCACAGTTTTTGGAGCAGGATGAGATTTCAATCATGCTTATAAAAAGGAAAGCAGCCATTGCGAGGGAGCTTTTGGAACTGTTCCCGCTCATTTCATCTGCCATCGCCGAGGTAGCTGGAGATTGCTTCGTGCTTAGCCGCGGAGCTGGAGGCTGCCAAGTTGTTCGCCATACGGCCGCAGACAGACAGTGTGAACGTCTATGATTTTCAGTGTGTTGGAAGAGTTTCGACTCTGCATGACTCTGCTGGTTTCCGGCATCTTTAGAGCACGGGATGACCTTGGTTATCGTCGCGTTGTCTGGTCGTCCCGGGCTGGGTGCCCCATGTGTGCAAGCTGTGAGGCCCCTCACGCACGCCAAGTATGTTTCTAGTGAGGTTATTGAGGTGTGCTCAGGGTCAGTCGTCGTGTGACCTTCTGCAAAAGGTCGCGATTGGTACTTGGCCCATTGTGTGTACATGTGGGCATGCCAGCTATGCACGACCACATAACCCGTTCAAAATCTGACTTGCTGAGGCCAGCCACCCGGTCAGCGCAAAGACTGCGTGATCACAGCACGCTCAGCTGCGGCCCTTTGGCGGAGTTAAGGATGTCGTGCCTGTGTGCAGTTGCCCCGGGCTTGGATGCCGGTTCCCCGTCGTTGCAACCGTGAATTCGATGCTGGGTAGAGTATCGAACATAGAGTCTAGGGCAATGCAGGCCACGCCAGCATACTCGGGCCTGCCAGATACTTCCCATTTCAGAGGATTGCTCTTGAACGGTGCCACGTGTTTCATTGCTGGTCAGCCGACCAAACATGTCGTGCACATGCTGCTTCACATGCTTCAGGATCTTTGGGCAATTGCCCGTGGCAGCTCAAGTCCACAGGCGGCTTTCGCGCAAGGGAAGATCTCTGTGCGAGGCCATGGCCCAGGGCCACTTGTCCGTGCATGTCCATCGTGCATGTCCATGTTGCTAGCTTCGGCTATAGGTTTGTCTCAGAGCTGGCATCCACAAGTTCTGGATAGGATCAGACTGCGCTCGGCAATCAACCCTTCGAAGGCGGCTTCTCGCCCCTTCTAGAGCTGCGCCCTTTCATCGCGGAGCTGCGGGGAAAGATACCAGCAGCTCAGGTCACAATAGGGATTCTTAAAGGCTGAAATTCGGAAGTTCAGTTCAGCCGCAGTTCAGCCTGCGCCCCTGTGATTGTAGCTCCAGCCGGGACTCCAGCCCAAACGTGGGTGTGAAATGCTCTGAGGTCACCGACCTCTTACCAGGATGCTTGGCACGAAAGAGCAAGGGTACAACAAGTGAGATGTGCGTGTCATGTAGCCTCGCAGACAGACTTTGTGTGCGAGAGCATGAACGACGCAGCAAACTCCGCCGGCTGTCCCGAGTCGACAGCACCCATTGGTCACGATGCACCTGCTTCCCGACGCTTCTTGTCCAGGTGGCGCATGGCTACCAGATTCCGCCGCAGATGCATGTATGGCGTGTGACGCAGTCTTCACGCTGTTCAGGCCGAACCTGTGACGAAGGAAATGGCTCGTGGCAAGTTGCTTCAGTTCTGAGCTTTAGCATGACCCAGTAGAGTATTTGCCGTCCAGGCGGCGCCATCACTGCCGCAGCTGTGGAAAGCTATTTTGTGACCGCTGCAGCCCTTGGCGTGCAGGCACTCTGCGTAAAGGGCAGTAAGCCGCAAGCCGAAATCACGCACATGGCGCACGTGAAGTCGAGCCAGGTGAAGTACCGTCAACAGGACACATTTGTTGGGAGAGGTCGCTGCCACAACTCAGCATGGCTCCGGGCAAGTCTTCCGTTCTCAGGGTTCAACTTCTTCTGGACCGCAGGCCCTGCTGCGCGGCAGTGCGACGAGTGCTTTCGCGCGAAGACGGAGATCTCTGAGGGTGCAAAGAAGGACCAGGCCACGCTCGCTCTAACACACTCAAGATTGGTTGTTTGCGTGATCAGGCTTTGTTTGGATTGCAAACTGGGTTTGGATTGTAAACGGGTTTAATTCAGCTCAGCAGGGTCTCGGGAGCATCGAAACCTGGTCCTGCGCCTCAGGGCATCGTCGCTGAGCAGATGAGGCTGCTGGAAGTGCGGCTGGAGGACTTGCATCGTCAAGAAATGAAGCGAATCGGATAAGAGGACCTTGGACCAAGAAGCGCCAAGCCCCTCCTGGTCACTTCAGCGGACAAACTTCAGAAATCTGTTGCATTCTGTGGCCCTTGCCCAACCTGCTCTCACCCACCTAGCATGACCGGAGGTGAGCGCACCTCCGTGACATGAAATTCTCCAACTCAAGTGGCGCAAACAAAGATGCAGCTCAGCTCCGTACGACAGGAAGTCGAAAGTGCAGCTGCTGCACGCGAGGCGGAAGACTTTTTGGGCACGGCCAACGCTGCCTGGCAGGAAGCTAGCAGGTGTTGGGGTATCTCATGAGATTCCATGGGACGGCGGTGCCCGGACTTCGGGAGTGCAAGGCTCGGCTCAGCCGTAGCTTACTCCTTCTCAGATGGAAGTGGAAGCCAGACTTCACAGGCATTCCTTGGCCTCCTAGCTGCTGGTCTGCTTCTGGCTTTGGTGGCCCTGGGCGCAGAAAGGATTGACATTGGGTTCTTTGCTTCTAGATTCCGGTTCCCGGCCGGACATGCATTCGTCACTGAACCATGCTGAGTCTCTTTTCCTCTAGATGGAATAGGCTTTGCAGCCTGAAGTGGCGAGGAACCACCTGGCTGTTCTGCTGGCGCTTGTGGTGTCGAGCCGGCCCGTGACGTCCAGCACGTGTTGGTGCTCCAAAAAAATCTTGCAGATTTCTAAAGCTCTAGCAATTCTAGCAGCAAAACCATTCTAGCCAAAGCCTTCTTTCTGTACTTCGTACCTTGCCTTCCAGATCACACATTGATCGCCGCATGGCATGTCTCCCTCTCTCTCTCTGCATGTTTTCACAGTCGTGACTACGTACAGTCGTGCGGCTGCACTTGTCTCTCCGGGCAGGTGTCTCTTCTTTCGGCAGCTCCGTGCCCTGTGGCTGTGTGTCGGCTGGCCTCAGATATGGGAACTGAAGCTGTAAACCTTACCACGGCACCTGGTTTATGGGCAGAGAAGCTTGCTAAGCTCGAACAGGCAGTCCACAGATTTTTATAATGCGTCTGCCTGGCGTGCTGAGTCACTAATGACATGCAAAGGTGCTCTCTCTACCCCCGCTATGTGGCAGCTTGCGTGTCAGACCCACAGTTTCACAGCGTCCACATGACAAATACCTGAGGTCCTTATTCTTTGGAAGCGCCTTGCCCTGAAGCGTTTCTTCCTTGATCTGCCTTGCTTGTGGTCCATGCGCTGCCATCAGGTGAGAAAGTCTGGCTCTTTCCTTCGCTTTCTCCAGCAGCCAAGGTACAAGCAGAGTGCTTGGGAAGCAAAGCGCCTCTGTGAAGAGGAGCGAAGCCCTACTGTACCCTCCAAGTCGGTAAGGCAGCTGTGACATGAGAGGCCGAATTGCAATTCAGAGTTTCTCGGATGAGCCGCAGGGCTTCGGCTTCCTGCCGCTGCCGCACATAGGTCTTGAAGCGCGCCCGCGGCAAGCTTAGGGCTTCCAGTTTAAGGTCGTCAGTGGCAGCGGCCTTGTCTTGGGACTGCAGGCATACAGCCTGACTTTGAGCGGTTCCATCGACGTTTAGGTTCTGTCGTTCGTTCCTCCCCATCGTTCCGGTCGGTCGTCGCTGGTGCATGAGAACACGGCAGAACGACATACTCCAGCTCTGCACCGCAGGACGGCAAGAGGCTGCTTTCTGCGCGATACAGGCTGCACGAAGTGAATCGTTTGAGGATCTCAGTTTGGCAAGGGGAATGGCTTGCGATGGCATTTGGGAATGGCGCGGGCTCGGTTTACGGTCGAGTTGCTTGCGCTCTGCGAGGGTCCTGGCCTTCCTCGGGGCGCGGGGCCTCCGACAGCTCGGGGGCGTATGGCCGCCGCCCGGTCGCACGTGATGCAGACGGCCTTCACTGGTACCATTCTCGTGTATCTGCGTGTGAAATATGCTGAAATCGTAGCTGGAAGATGAGCACATAGCATTGAGCCCAAACACTTCGGCACGAAGGGCTGTACCAGCAACCATGCAGAGCCGAAGCCTCGAATAAATTGAATTTTGGAGTCCAGAGCAACTGAAGTCGTGCTACCCTCTGACACCGAGATCCTCATAGCAGGAAAATCGGCATGAGCTGGTATGCCGAGCACCGCGCTCTAAGTCTGGAGGGTTTCGGACAATTTTCAGAACCATTCGCTCCCCGGAATTTTCTGTGCCCGGCTAGCTCAGGAAAGTGGGCCAGTACCTTAGCACGCAAGGCAAGACCTTGCATCTTCAGTTCCTGAGTTTGGGGGGTCATGGCTCGAGGCCGAAGCTAACAGGCAGGCGGAGCATCAGACCAGCAGCAACCGCTTTGCTTCCCCAATCTCAGACTTGCATTGTGGAGTTTGGAATGGATAGTGGAAGGCAGGACGTTCTAGACCCAGAGCTTGCTGTGACCTGGTGGATGTGGGGATCCTCTAGTTCTTCAGCTGGCGCCTGAAGTTTGCCAAAGTGATCATGAAAAGGAATTGTGGTGATGGCGATGCTCAGTTGATGCTGTTGAGAGTTCCATCATAGAAGCGCGAAGAGCTTTTTCTGCGAGCTGATGATGACCGCTGACTATGCAGGCGATAAGTGGCCGGACGAAGTGCTTTCGGAGTTCCTGGGCAAAAACTGCATTGCCGTGGAGCGGTGGAGTGACTGTGACTATGAGTGACTGAGTGTCGACACGTGTGCGGAACACACGTTTTTCCTACGTTTCTGGTCAATGACAATGACGCTCGCTGATGCCGGTCGGAAGCTGATCAAAAAGACTTCTGGCATCTGAGGCTGCGAAAGCTCCGCGACGCGATGCCCGCGGCGCCTGCGCATATCACCCAGCGGACGATCAAGGCACATCTAATATTATGAGTCGATAAATTGTCTGACCGAGCCTTGCAATGTAAACAAGAAGACACGTCTTCGTCGACGATGAAGCTTTGAGGCTTCTGCGGCTGCCTGTGTGATCGTGGGTAAGCATCTCCGAATGCCAGATCTTAGCCAGAATGCAGCTACACCAGATTTGCCAAACCGCGACTGGCATTCTGCGCAGGAAGATCTGGGCCAGCCAGTGGAGAAGCTCTTCCGGAGCTTCGAGGTTTCGCGTGCGTGCCTGCCAGAGTATTCAGGATCTATGGTGCAGGTAGTGAGGCACTAATGCACGAATTTCTCTGCAACTCTTCAGCTTTTCCGGGGCAAGGAGCAGCCGATCGCCAGTGCCTCCATTGGCCAAGTGCACAAGGCTCGGGTAGTTGAAGTCATCCTCTAGCTCAGAGCAAGAGCTGATTGACTGCCCTGGAACGAAGTCAGCTTGCCGGACGTCTAGAAAGCGAGTCGCTCTTGAGGCAGTCCTCCATGATGGTCGTCTGGTGGCCGTGTCGCTTGGCAGGTTTGCAGCACTTGCTGACTGCACTGTAATTTGTCAGCATCCACCTAGCAAACCTCGGCTGACCGGATCGATCTGACAGTCGTGGCTGGCGGTAAAGAGGCAAGAGAGCAGAAGGAAGTATACACCATGCTGCTTCAGCGAGTGTTCTTGTGTTATGCTTGTGTGTCTCTCATCTTCTTGCGAAGCTCGATCAATTCAGGAAGGTTCAGCACCGCCATGCTGCGAGACAAATTCCGATCGATCCTCGCCGCGGCATTCATATATATATATATATATACACATTAATATGGCTGCCAGGCTAAGGCGGCTAAGGGGAATCACCCATGTTCGCGATGCAGGTACACACTGGCTGCTGATTGCTGAAGCTTTCGCGTTTTCTCAGCTGTAGGCCTAGCTTGGCCGTTTCGATAAGAAGGCGGGAGGTGTGCGGCCGGAAGATGCGCCTAGTAGCTTTGAAAGTCGGTCCTGGCGTGCTTTGTCAACTGGAGGCTCGATTGGCTAGGGTACCGGGGTTGATGCTAGACGATGAAAGTCGAAAGCACATGCTGGGCTTCTTCCGCAGGCATGGTGCAGTTGTGTGATCATGGAAGACGCTTCCGCAAAGTAACAGGGTCCTGGTCGGTGGGAAGAAATTTACCGCAATGTTTCATTGATTGTTGGGTCGGAAATCAGGATGTGGCCTACATGCGCCTTCTGGCAAATTTGGCTTGGTTGCTGACGCTGGGCGAGGTGGACTTGATGCCAGTGGCATCTCGGCAACTCCTGCGACAGGGCGCTTGTGGAGCATGTTCTTCAAGGCTGCTGCGCGTCGGCTGTGCTGCTAAGTTATGTTGCTGTCCATGGCTTTGTTTTGTGAGCCACCTGGGCCTGGGCCGAGAATTAAGATGACGTCATGCTCAAAGTCGAAAGGCATAATTGCGCATGATGAAGGAAGTCACGATCTCCCGCTGTGTTGCGTGGTACTTCCGTGCAGACAGGTTGTCGAGTGGCTGGGTGCTGTGCTGGAAGAGCTGGACTTCCAGAACGAAGCCAAGAACCAGACCCTTGGATCCCTTGGTTTGGGGTTGAGAGAAACAGCAGCTACTGGTAGCAGCTATCGCTTGCCTGAAGCCGTCCCGTTCATGACCTCGTGCGGGTCATCGGAAGTCTTGCAAAACACAAGAAGCAAAATACACTTGCTGGTGAGCCTCTCCAAGGAGCCGGGGCCGCTCGGAGCTCAAGGCGGCTGGCCTCGACATCGCCACCTGCCATCACCTGCCCATCCGGTCGTTCTGTCTTGGGTTTTTTAGGGTCCTTGTGGGCTGTTCGTGCCTTGCGAATACCGATGAAGTGATTTTTCAATCTGGACGCTGAGGCCTAAATTCAGGTGCTTTTCTGTTCGAGTTTCCTGAGAAGCCTTCATTCCCACGTTCGGATCGCTTCGGAAGGCAGTTGTTCGAACTTGGGGCCGATCCGAACGAACGCTATGTCACTGTGTGCTGTGTGAGCCATGGTCAACATCTCCAAAACAAGATTGGGGAAGCAAGAGCAAGGGCCTGCAAAGAGGGAGAGGCCTTTTTTCGGCTTTGGCGCCGCAGTGCCGCAATGAGGTAGTGCCTGAAGTCTATGAGTCTCTTTGCGGCCGGCGTGTGCTCGTCATGGAATTCGCAGGGGGCCAAGACCGGCAATGCATGGATTTCTGTCGCAGGGGGTCCTACGCAAGGAATTTTCATAGCTCCGTGGCACAAGCCTATGGCATGGTTTGTTCTCCGGTGATTGGCTGGCATGAACCTGTGAGCGCACGGCGACCGCTTCGTTAACCAGAAGTGGTAAGTAGCCAAAGTAATCGTAAGCACAAATCGTGCGGGTCTGATCATGTAGTTCCTGAGACTTGCGAAGAGAAGGAATACAGAGTACCTGCTGTAGTTGCTTTTTTATGGAATGTCCCACAACTTTCCCAGTGTGATATGCCCGTCAAGCCGTGAACAAAAGGTGGAAGGGGAGGCAAAGCGTTATCCTTTCCGGGCCTCCACTCTGCACAGCTAAGCATAGCTGATGTGGATGGAATGTACTTTCGAGAGTCTCTTGCATTCGTCTTTCCGTAACATCCGGTAGGAAGATGTTCATCGTGGCAGAGCCGCAGTGCCCACCACTGGCCAGTGTTGGTGGTTTGCGTATTGCTCTATGCATTCAGGAAGGTTCGGAAGGATTGGGAAGGATCGTGGGTAAAGTCTTGAAATGCCTCGACAGGTCGAAGGCCAGCAAGTGACCGCGGGCGACGCGTCGCTGTCAGCAGCGGAGCGCCTTGAGGTGCAGTTTGGGTTGTCGACAGTGTCGGGAAGCTTTCCGGGTGGACAGCGGAGGCATACTGTCGCATGGGGCCCTTGGTCAGCTCCAGCACACCTAGTGTGCGGTTTACGTTGAATTGGCTTGGCGCCCATCAGAATCGCTAGAACTCGACTCAACTGCTGGCTATCCCTCGACCAAACCTGCAGGTCATGACATCCCTGGTTCGAGCCTATGCTCATGGACTGTTTGTGTCGGGCCACTTCAACGGCGATCCACACGCAGCTTGGTCGCACTCGTTGGTCTGCCAGAAATTACGCAAAGTTCGGCATACGGAATTAAACTGTGCCACCCTATGGTTGATAGAGTCTTCAAGGTTTGTGGCCGATGTTGTAAGGCCAACAGTGCCCGCGACATGCCCGCGACGGTGTGGCCCCGTACGCGAGCGTTATGCAGACTTGAGGCCGGCAATCTCCTGGTGACGCGCAAGAATGGCAAGGCAAGGGCGGAGGGCCACCGGGTGCACGGTGTCACTACCTGAAGACACTCAGCAAGGATCGCAAAAGAAAGTGCGCTTTAATTGCTGTGTCGCTACCGGGCAGGATAGGGGGAGATTCAGAGGCTGCTTCTCGCGGCTCTTTGCTGCAAGTTGCAAGTTGTGTTGTCGAGCGCGGTCCAGGCTCACTGTGTTCTTCTGGTGCCCTGGCATATCTTTATTCAATGTACTGTCGAGCGGAAAATGCTGTATGTCCAAAATAAGGACTGGGGCCTGACGAAGGAACTCACCAATCAGCGCCGGCTCGCAGCCTGCAACATGGCTCGACTCAAGTTAGGATGGATACACCGTCAATGCATCCACAAAACTCTGCAGAGGGCTTATGCGCAGTCCTATCATTATGAAGCCGAGCCCGGCAAGGGCTGATAGAGCGCGTGTGTTAGCTGGGTCACTTGGTCCCTAGCATGATTCGATCGAGCCTCCACGTGCTGCATGGACGAAGACATACTTAATATAATACATGCACGAACATGCACTTGCATACATTACATGTGTATATATATATATATAGAGAGAGAGAGTCGTATGTATGTGTGTATATTTATATCATTTATATTTGTCTGTCTGTCAGTCAGTCAGTCAGTCAGTCAGTCAGTCCGTCTGTCTGTCTGTCTGTCTGTCTGTCTGTCTGTCTGTCTGTCTGTCTATATACATACACATGTATGTGTATGTACAGTATGTATACACGCACACACACACACATACAGATATATACATATATATATATATAGTTATATATATATATATAGATATATACAAACATTCACAAGCACACATATGCGCATACATGCACGCGTCAAGACTCATGCACATATGAGATCCCCGCAAACGTGTGTACGCACGTGCATAAACCTGCTTGCATGAATGCAAGTTCGTGCGTCTACACACAGGTATGTAAGTTTGTTTGTCTGTCTGTCTGTGTATCTGTCTGTCTGTCTGTCTATCTCCGTCTGTCTTTCTGTCTGTGCCTTTCTCTGGGTCTGTCTGTGTCTGTCTGTGTCTGTCTTTGTCTGTCTGTGTCTGTCT